CATCGCATGCGCCGCATCCAGGCGCTGCGGGATGGTCCCACAGGTGAGGGGATGCAGCAGGATGGGGCCCATGGGGCAGTACTCAGACACCATCGCCCCACACTAACGGGGCTGCCCCATCCCTCTCCACAGCCTCTTCGCAGGACCCACAGCTGAAGACGGAAGGAAAAGCCCCAGAGAGCGTGAGTGGGGTCTGGGTACCAGGGGGATGAGGAGCATCCCTGGAGCAGGAGAGGGGTTGGGGCCCTGCAGGAGATGGCACAGGGCCGTGGGTTGGTGCCCCACAGGAGCTGCCCACCCTCATCCTGGAGGCTGTGAAAGAGCTGGAGGCGGCCAAGCAGCAGGTACTGAAGAGGATCCAGATCTGGAAGAGGCAGCAGCAGCTGGCAGGGAATGGGGCTCAGTTTGAGGAGAACCTGGCCCCGCTGCAGAAGAGGTGAGTGGCACAGGGCAGGGATGGGGGACCCGCAGCAGGGCCATGCCTGAGGGTCCCCCCTTTCCCCTTGGGTAAGGTGTGAGAACCTGGTGGAGGTTCACTTCCAGCTGCATCAACAAGTGATGGGGGCGAGCGCGGAGCTGGGGGCGGAGGTGGTACCCAGGCTCCAGGAGCGGCTCAATGAGGTCTTATCCAGCCTGGTCAAGAGGTAACGGTGGCATTGGGGTGAGGGGGGTCTGCAATGGGGGGGGGTGCTGAGCCCCATCGGTTCCTGTGTCCCCAGCTCCTTCCTGGTGGAGAAGCAGCCCCCGCAGGTCCTGAAGACCCAAACCAAGTTCCAGGCCAGTGTCCGGTTCCTGCTGGGCCCGCGCCTGCTGAAGGCATCGGCCAAGCCCTACTTGGTGCGGGCTGAGATGGTGACGGAGAAGCAGGCGCGGGAGCTGGCGCTCAGCGCCTACAGCAGCACCCTCAGGTGAGGGGCCCGGGGGCTCAGCGCAGGGCGAGGGGGATGCAGGGGTCAGCCCCAGCCCCTGACCCCTTCCTCTGCCCCAGTGAGAGCACCGGGGAGATCCTGCACAATGTGGTGGCCCTGGAGACCAACCCCACGAGCGGGACCTGCTGCGCCAACTTCAAGAACGTGGTGAGGGCCGTCAGCAAGGGATGGGGTGGGGTGGGGTGGGAGCTTTGGGATGGGAACTTTGGGATGGGAGCTTTGGGATGGGATGGGAGCTTTGGGATGGGATGGGAGCTTTGGGATGGGATGGGAGCTATGGGATGGGAGCTTTGGGATGGGAGCTTTGGGATGGGATGGGAGCTTTGGGATGTGAGTGTTGGGATGGCATGGGAGCGATGGGATGGATGGGATGAGATGGGAGCTTTGGGATAGGAGCTTTGGGGTGGGATGGGATGAGATGGGATGGGAGCTTTGGGATGGAATGGGAGCTTTGGGATGGGATGAGATGGGAGCTTTGGGATGGGAGCTCTGGGATGGGATGGGTTGGGATGGGGGTCCCCAAGGCTTGCCCAGGGCTGATGCTCAGCTCTCCCCCTGCCCAGCTGCTGAAGAAGATCAAGCGCTGCGAGCGGAAGGGGTCTGAGTCGGTGACGGAGGAGAAGTGCGCGGTCCTGTTCAGCACCTCGGTGGCCCTGACTGCCGGCAACCTCTCCATCCACCTCCAGGTACCAGCTCCATCCCCATGGGACAGGGCTGGACAATGCTGTGTCCCCTATGGGACACCCTGCTCCATCCTGGGCAGCCCCATCTCACTCAGGGTGGGCTCAGGACCGATGGGGGCCGTTATCTCTGCCCCCAGGTCCTGTCCCTGCCCATCGTGGTCATTGTCCATGGGAACCAGGACAACAACGCCAAGGCCACGGTCCTGTGGGATAACGCCTTCTCCGAGATCGTGAGTGCCACAGGGCGAGGAGATGCCGGGATGCTGGGGACAGGTCTGGCTCCGGGATGGAAGCATCCTGACACCATCCTGCCCTGCCCCAGGACCGGGTGCCCTTCGTGGTGGCCGAGCGGGTGCCCTGGGACAAGATGTGCGACACGCTGAACCTGAAGTTCATGGCCGAGGTGCAGACCACCAAGGGGCTCCTCAAGGAGCACTACTTCTTCCTGGCACAGAAGATCTTCAATGACTACAGTGCCAGCCTCGAGGACTTCCAGAGCCGCAGCGTGTCCTGGGCCCAGTTCAACAAGGTTACTGGGAGAGCTGGTCTGGGTGAGCAGGGACCAGTATGGCCGTGGGCATCATCACACCGTCCCTTCTACCACAGGAGATCCTGCCCGGTCGGGGGTTCACCTTCTGGCAGTGGTTTGATGGGGTGCTGGACCTCACCAAGCGGTGCCTCAAGAGTTACTGGTCCGATAGGTGGGTACCGGGGCCAAGAGCAGGTCCAGGGCCAGCCCTGGGGATCCCCGCTCCCATGCTTGCATCCCTGCAGGCTCATCATCGGCTTCATCAGCAAGCAGTACGTCTGCAAGCTCCTGAGCACGGAGCCCGAGGGCACCTTCCTGCTGCGCTTCAGCGACTCCGAGATCGGGGGGGTCACCATTGCCTACGTGATCCGGGGCAAGGATGGTGCGTTGGGGTGGGGGGGGCACGGGGGCTGCTGTGGGTGCTGTCACCATTGGGTGTTATGGGCTCGTGATGGAGCCTTGTGCTGTCCCTTCAGGCACCAGCCAGGTGGAGAACATCCAACCCTTCTCTGCCAAGGACCTCTCCATCCGTTCCCTTGGCGACCGCATCCGGGACCTGGGGCAGCTCCGCAACCTCTACCCCAGCACCCCCAAGGACCAGGCGTTCGGGAGCCACTACAACAGTGAGCAGGAGGGGGGGGCAGAGATGGGCAATGCTATGGGGAGCTCAGATGGCATGGGTGCCATGGTGGGTGATGGATGCTTCTCTCGGAGCAGAAGAGCAGACAGGCAAGGACGGCCGGGGTTATGTGTCCACCGCCATCAAGATGACAGTGGAAAGCGAAAGGTGGGTGCTCGTGCAACATCCCCCATAGAGATCTTGAGCCTCCCATAGGGATCCCAAACCCCCCCCCATGGGCTGCACATCTGTGAGCACTGACTTGCCCGTGCCCAGAGGCTGGACCGCACCGGCCCTGTGCCCATGGCAACGATGCGCTTGCAGGGACCAGCATCCCCAGAGCGCTGCAGGGACCGTCCCCGAGGCCCCCCCGGCTCGGATGTTCAACCTGCCCATGCTGCAGCCCGAGGGCAGCCTGCAGCCGGTCCTCAGCACCATATTGTGAGTGCCAGGGACAGAGGCAACCGCACCGGGTGCAGGGGGGGTGCTAACACCGCCCTGTGTCTCCATTGCAGCCCCCCAGCTCCCTTCTGCCCCCCATCCATCCCCACGGGCTACCCCACGGGGGAGAGCAGCGTCAATGTGATGGTCACCAACAACCTCGGCTCCTCCTTCCCCAGGTAGGGGTGGTGCTGGTTGAAGGCACTGGGGGCAGGTTGGGCCCCCCCAATGGGAGGGGGGTGTTTGCCCATGTGCTCCTCCTCCCCATAGCACATCCCCAATGCTTTCTCCATCCCTGGCCATGGACCCACCGCTGCCTCGCTGCGAGGACCCCGCCTTCAGGACCCCATTGTAAGACCCAGCACATGGGTACGGGGGGGGGGTACCCAGCCCTGACCCCCGCTTCTCCCAGCCCAAGGGACCTTTCCCGGCTGAGCAGTGCTCCCAGTACCCAGCCAAGCACTGCCCCTCTGGGGAAGCACACAGGGGGTACCCCATAGCTTACATCACCCCCCCTTTCTTTGCCCCCCCTTAGGCCCTTCATGCCCAACCAGTACATGACTGGGGAGGCCTCACAGATGCTGTCGGGGGGGCCCTCACCGGAGCCACGAGATGAGGAGATGCTTGAGCTGGCCCCATTGACACTGATGGACCCCCCGCTGCAGAGCACCCCGAGGTGGTAAGCACATGGCGGGGGGGGGGGGGGGAACAACACACCATTGGGGTGCCCAATGGGGGGATGCCCTGCATCACCCTGTGCCTCCCTTGCCCAGGGTGCCCAGCATGGACCAGCAGCCCTGCTCGGACCTGGACCAGTTCCTGCAGGAGATGGCGGTGGAGGGGCCCCCCTTCCCGCCCCCCCCCCAGCACAGTGGGTACCCCAATGCCTCCTGCTGGGGCCTGGGGGAGTCCCAATGGGATGACAGCATCCGACCAGGGCACACGTGAGGGGGATGCTGGGGAGGGGACATTGGACTGTGCCCCCCCCCCCCCCCAAGGCATCACCGGGTTGATATCACTTGGGGGGGGGGGGGTGGATTTTGGGTAACACTCGGGTGAATCTGCTGCACTTTGGGGTCCGGAGCTACCGCCCTGTATGGAGGGACCCCCCCGGCCCCCAGGGGACACACATTGGGTCCCCCTCACTAAGCCCACAGATAGCGCTTGCTTTGGGGTTTGTGAGGTGCCCCCCCCCCCAAGGTGGGAATGGGGGTGCCGGGGAGGGGGGGGCAGGGACATAAGCCATAAAATAAAGTTTTATTCCCAAATAACAAAATAAATAATCTCCTGTACACGTTACAAAGGAGGGGGCGCCGCGAACGCTCATAAAGACACCACAGTCCTATGGGGGGGGCACACACAGGGACATGGGGACCCCGGGGCTGGGCACCGCTTATGGGGTAGGGGCATGGGACAGGAGAGACCCCAAGGGGCTGGGGGGGGGCAGCACCACCCCTATGCCCCCACCCGCATGGTGCTGGGAGGGGGTGCACACGCGTGACCCCCGCAACACATGAGGGTAAATGGGGGGGGGGGGGGGGGGATTTAAGGGTGAAACACTGCACGTGGGTGATGCGGTGCTGCGGGGGGGGGTGCTGCGGGGGTGCTGCGGGGGGGGGGTTGGTGCTGGTGTGGGAGCACCCAGTGCTGCACATGGCTCCTGTGCGGTGATGGGGGGGCACGGGTTGCCCACCCAAAGGGGCCTTGGGGGGACACACACACATACACACACAGGGATGGTCAGCACAAGGGGTGAGCCGAGGGGGGGCTGTACAGCAGCTTCGAGTCCATTGGGGGGGGGGGGCTCAGAGCCTGGTGGGACCAGGGTATTGCTGCTGTGGGGCGGGGAGGGGGGGGCGCATCCCGCCGCGGCTGAGGTAACCAGAGCATCGGTGCGGGAGAGGATGGGGTCTTGGGGGGGGGGGGTTTGTGGCCAGGCCCTCACCGGCTCCCCCCGCACCCGGAGCACCGCCGGTACCCATCCCCCAGCACGTTATTGCTTCGTTAATGGGGGGGGGGGGGAGGGGGGGTCTGCAGGGGCCTCACTGCCGGCTGCTCTCCTGCTCCACCTTGATGGTGCCGCGGGGGGGGTCAGGGGGGGCCGGGGGACCCCGTTCTGCCAGCCCGTCCTCGAGCTCTGTGGGGAGAACCGGGGATGGGGGGGGTGGCATCAGGGAGATGCTTCCATAGGGAACAACGCGGCCGCTCCCGCTCCGTTTCCCCGCAGGGGCTCACCGGGGGCCGGGGGCTTCCCGGGCAGGCAGGGGCTGAGCCGCCCCACACGCTCGTGGGAGACCAAACGGGCCAAGCGGAGCCCCTCGTCCATCAGCGTCTGCTGCAGGAGGTGGCGGCTCCAGAGCCCGTGCGGGGGGAGCCCCAGGGCCACGTCGGGGCCGGCACCGGGCGGCGGCGTCAGCCGGGGACAGGCCCCCGCCACTGCGGAGAGAACGGCGAGAGCTGGGGCTTACCCAAGGGGGGGGGTTCGGCTCTGCCTATGGATGGGGCCTCAGCTCACCCTGCAAGTGGCCGTCGAGGCTCTCCCCGGAGAGGCTGCCGGCGTCCTCCTCCAGCCCGGCTCGGAACGCGGCCCCCGGCGGCTCCGGCCCCACCGGCAGCGGCAGCAGCTCCGGGCGGCTCTGCTCTCCCGCCTGCCGGCAGCGCACAGTGAGCGCAGGGCAGTGGGAGGGGGGACACATGGACCCCCCATCCCACCGAGAGCAAGGGGAGCTCCGCGCTGCGCACAGCACCGAGCCCCGCAACCGGCACCCGCATCCCCCTTGGCAGCATCAGTGCGGGTGCGGACCCACCTCCTGCTTGAGCCGCTTGGCCGCGGTGGCTGCGCTGTCCTCGGGATGCGCCCTGCGCGGGGAAGGGAAGGGAAGGGAAGGGAAGGGAGGAAGGAAAAAAAAAAAAAAAAAAAAAAAAAAAAAAAAAAAAAAAAAAAGGGAAGGGAAAGGGGGGGCACACACGAAGGGGCCGCGTCAGGCGCGGGGTGACCGCGCAGGGCCCCTGCGGGCAGCGCCAGGCGCCGCGGGGAGCGTGGGCCGGGCAGGGCGGTGCCGCGGCATCGGGGCTTTGGCACAGATGGAGCCGGGGGTGGCACAAGGGGGGAGCGAAGGGAAAGGGCAGCGCGGCCACAGCGGGGAGGGAGGGGTGAGGGGGGGCACCCCCAGCAGCATCACCCCCACCACCCGCCCCCCGCATTCCATTCATTCTCCACCTCCCGCGGGCCCGAGGTCAGGCAGAGAACAGCCCACACGAGGGAAAGGGGAACTTGGGTCCCGTCCCCATTGGGAAGCGCTGAGCTATGGGGTGCAGCGGGGGGGTGACAGCCAAGCCCCCCCCTCCCCAGTCCGGTTTGTGGCACGGGGTCTGCCCCGTCCGGGCTCACCTGGACGCCTTGAGCGAGGACAGGTAGGTGCTCTCCCGCGCTACCTGGCGCGACAGGGAGAAGAGCTCGACGCGCCGCAGCAGCAGCGAGTTGTCCCGCAGGCAGAACTGCGCGGCTGCCTCGTTGATGATGAGCTGCGGGGCGCAGAGGATGCGTGAGAGGGGGGGGGGACCCCCAGCACCCCACGGTAGAGACAGCGCCTGACCCAGCGGACCCCATCTCCCACCCCAACCAACAGCGGGACCCCGGTGCCACGCACCTCGTGCAGGGTGAGCTGCTTGCCCTCTCGGCGCCGGGCCTCGCCGCGGCCGTAGATCGCGCTGTGCCGCCGGATCTCCTCCTCCTTGTGCCGGTCGCCGTCCTCCAGCTGGAAGATGTGACCCACGGCCTTGGCCAGCTTCTTGTTGAGCTTCAGGAGCGCCCGCAGCTCGGCCTCGCCGCCGCGGGGGTAGCTCTGCAGCAGCCGCTCCACGCTCTCCGCCACCGTCCGTGCCAGCTCCGGCTCCAGCACCTCGGTACCCACCGCCTGCTCACCGCTGCTCCCACCCGGGGAGAAGGGGGGACCCCCCGGCTCCTCGTCCCCACCGCCCTCCGACTCAGGGGTGCTCCTCCCCGGCCACGGCGGCACCGCTGATGGTGACAGCTTCTCCCCCGGCTCCGTGGGGCTGCGCGCTGGGGGTGTCCCGGTGCTGCTGCCCCCTTTGCCCACAGCCTCACCGGGGCTGGCGTGCCCGTTGCTGAGCGCCTTGCGCCCGCCCGCCTCCGAGAGCTTGAAGAGGGGGATGCTGCTGACGGGCACGGCCGAGACGGGCTGGCTGAAGAGCCCCGGGTTGGAGGCCCACTCACGCAGGGCCTTCTGGAGGCGGCGGACGTGCAGGGGTTTGGTGGCCATGCCCACCAGCGCCATGATCTCCAGGAACTCCTCCTCGCCCGCCTCGCAGAGCTGCTGCACGTCGTCCCCCCCTTGCTGGATGAAGGTCTCGTAGTAGCCCAGCAGGTTGGCGCGTTGCAGCACCCGGTACAGCTGCAGCTCCCCCAGCGTGCGGGGCAGGGCCATGGCGATCGCGCCTGCGGGACCCACGGGTCACGACGGGCACGCAGAGGAAGCCCCCTCCCCACCAGGGAGGGGATGGAGGTGCTCCAGGGTCCCCAAACCCCACGGGGCACCCAGGCTGCGCCGGACCCGGTGTTCAGACACAGCAAAGACACGAATGGGCCCCCCCATCCCCTCAGCAGCAGCCCCGCACCTCCCAGACCCCCCCCCTCCGTGGCACCGGACACGCTCCCGAGGCTGCCCCATCCCTCCCCATCCCCGACGGCGCAGCGCGAGTCCCGCTCCCGCAGGGGCCGCCTTTCCCCGGCTCCCGTTCTGCTCCGTGCCCATCGCTACCGGTGCCCCGGCCCCTCCCGCCGCCCCCCCCCTCCCGTCGGTCGCTCACCGCCGCCTTGGAGCCGCCTCCCGGCCGCTGCGCCCGCCCCGTGCGCGGCCGCTGGGAGCCGGGGGGGGGGGGAGGTGGGAAGCAGCCGGAGCTCCGGGGCCGGGGGGTGCCGGGGGGTACCGGGGGGTACCGGGGCTCGGGGGGGTCCCGCGGCCGGGCCGGGCGCGCTCGCTCCTTCGCTCCGCGCCGCTTCTGCGCGCCGCCCACACGGGCGGTACCGTGAAATAGCAGCGGCCCCGGCAGCGCCGCGGCGTGGGAGGCCCCGGGGGCGGATCCCGCGGATGCCGCCCCCGTCGAGCAGAGCGCGGGCGGCCGCGGCGGGGGGAGGCAGCAGCGGGCGGGGGAACCGGGACCCCCCCCCCCCCACCTCTACCCCGGCTCCCCGCTCCCGGAGCCGCTGCGCCTCCCGCCCCGAGGGGGGGGGGAACCGGGGAGCGGCGCCCATCACGGTGGCACCGGGCGGGGAATGAGCCCCCCCCCTCCCATCACTGGGGCGGAGGGGACACGGACGGGGTCCCGGTGCTTGGAGAGGGGGGAGGGGGCCAAGACCGCTGCGCTCGCAGCATCGGCGGCTCCCGCAGCACCGCGGTGCCGTTATCCCGGCGTTGCCCCGGGAGCGCGGCCACTTCGTGCCTCATCCCCCCCGGCTGCCCTCGGTAGGCTTCAGGGTGAACACCCCGCGGACGGAGGTGACTCCTGGGGTTGGGGGGGGACACGGTAACGCCCCCCCCCCATCACCACTCCGGGCTTGCTGGGGGGGTCACGGCGCTATTTATACCGCTCCCGGGTACGGCTCCAGCCGCCCCTGCCCGGGGCTGGGGGGGGGCAGCCGGGTCTCACTGCCCCGCTGTGATTGGGGGTCCTGCCCCATCCGTGCCCCCCCCCCTCAACACCGGCTCCCCCATCCCCGGGGTCCGGCTCGGCGGGGCCGCTCCCAGGCCTGGCGCTGCCCCCGGCTGACGCACATCCTCCGCCTACGGCCCCGCCGCTTCCCGGCTCCGCCGCCCACGGGCCAAGGGGGGGGCCGCCCGAGCCCGCTCCCAGCTCCCCGCTCGCCGCCTACGGGCGCCCGCTGCCCACGGGGACCGGCCCCGCTCGGCGCTGCGGGAGCCCCGCGCTTCGCCCGCTCCCCTCCATGGGCCATGAACGGGGCACGGAGCCCCCGGCCCCGCAGGTGCCACCGCGGTGCCGGGCTCCCCCCCGGCCCGGGGCCCCGCACGCTGCCCGGTGCGGGGGCTGAAGGGCGGAGCTCCGCGCCCCTCCGCCCACGCGTGACCCCTGCACAAACGAACGCTTTCTGATAGGAGGAGGGGCTTGTCAATGAGGTGTGCTTGTCTCTGATTGGCTAAGGGGCGTGACTGTGAGAGCCGTTACTAAGGCGGGATTAGCGGTTGCTATGGGATGGGCTTGAGCCGCCCGTCCGGTTGGTCACCGCGGTAGGCGTGCCCGGCTTTTGATAGGCTCCTAAACCAAGCTGCCTTCCGATAGGCCGGTTTAGCGATAACGCACAGCTCGCGCCCTCTCTCATTGGCTGCCTCTTGCCCCTCATGGCCGTTGCAAGGCGGAGAGGCGGAAGGTGACGGCTCGGCTGCGGCGGGAGGGATGAAACCGGCTCCGGGGCGGCGGCGGCGGCTGCGGCTGCTGTGGGGCGCGTTGGTGCCGGTGCTGCTGCTGGTGGGGGCCGCAGGTACGCGGGGACCGGGGGGCTCCGCAGCCCGAAACGGGAGCAGGGGACGGGCCCGTGCCGTTGCCGGGGCTGGCCCCGCATCCCGGTGGATGCGCTGCTGGATCCCGCCCCACACACACACCGCTCTGTGCCTTGCAGGGGCCGGGGCACCGCGGGTGATCTGGCTCCTGGAGGGCCGCGTGTACAATCAGTCCATCCCGCATCACTTCTGCTACACCAACCCGCACAGGCCGCGGTGGCACGAGATCTGGACCAGGATGCAGGTGAGAGGAGGAGGAGGAGGGAGGTCCCTCGGGTCCCCATGGGAGCCATCCCTCCGTGTGCTCCCCTTTCCCCTGTGCAGATCCGGGTGAACAGCAGCCGCATGATCCGCGTCACCCAAGTGGGCAGCGAGGAGGAGCTGGGCCAGTCGAGCGTGTGGAGTTTCCTCTCGTCCTTCCTAAAGGAGAAGCTGAACGACACCAGCATCGACGTGGACCTCTACAGCAACAAAACCTGCCTCAAGGTGGAGCTGCTGGAGGACGGCACCGTGTACCGCGTCGTCCTCTTCCGACGTACGGCCCCCTTTGTGCTTGGGGGGGGGCTTTGGAGGGGGCATTGAGGACATGGGCTCGTGTGCTGAGGGCTGCTCCTGCCTTGGGCTGCAGAGAGAAGCGGGTGTCCACCCATGGGGTGTACACGCAGGGCTCTGGGCAGGGGCTGCCTGCGATGCTGCCGCTTCCCTGCCCTTGGGACTGCACCCAAGGGACTCTGTTCTCCATCCGGATCCATTCCCTTTCCAGGCTTTGACCCAAAGCTCTTCCTGGTGTTCTTCCTGGGCCTGTTGTTGTTCTTCTGTGGGGACGTGCTGAGCAGGTGAGTGCCCTGGGCCCGAGGGGTGCTGGGTGCCGGTGCCTGGGTCTGATGTGCCCAGGCACCCCTGAGCTGTAAAACACCTCCTGTGACCCCTGCAGGAGCCAGCTCTTCTTCTACTCGGCCGGGATCAGCTTTGGCTTGCTGGCTTCATTGCTCATCCTCATCTACATGGTCTCCAAGGTCCTGCCCAAGGTGGGTGTCTGAAGAGCACTGTGCAAGACCAACCTGTCTACAAGAGCAAGCTGTATGCAGCTATACAAGAACAGGCTGTATGCAGCTATACAAGAACAAGCTGTATGCAGCTATACAAGAACAAGCTGTATGCAGCTATACAAGAACAAGCTGTATGCAGCTATACAAGAACAGGCTGTATGCAGCTATACAAGAACAAGCTGTATGCAGCTATACACGAACAAGCTGTATGCAGCTATACAAGAACAAGCTGTGTGCAGCTTGAATCTCCCATCTCTTCCTCTAGAAGAACCACGTTTACTTGCTGCTGGCAGGGGGCTGGTCCTTCTCCCTGTACCTGCTTCAGCTGGTCTTCAAGAACCTGCAGGAGATCTGCAAGACCTACTGGCAGTACCTGCTGGGTGAGTGGGAGCCCTTTGGGCTCGCTGGAGCCATGGCCTGAGCAGTGGGGCATGGAGGGGATCCTGCCCCTCTGCTGTGTTCTGTGGGAGCCCCCTGCAGCACTGTGAGCGGGTATGGTGTCCTCAATGTAAGGATGTGGAGCTGTTGGAGGCCATGAGGATGCTCAGGGGCTGGAGCAGCTCCCATAGGAGCCAGGCTGGGAACATTGGGGCTGGAGCAGAGAAGCTGCGTGGGGAGCTCAGAGCAGCTTCCAGTGCCTGAAGGGGGGTACAAGGATGCTGGAGAGGGACCTGCAGCAGGGATGGGAGCGATGGGACAAGGGGTGATGGGGTCAGGCTGGAACAGGGGGAGTTCAGGTTGGAGATAAGGAAGCTCTTCCCTGTGAGGGTGCTGGGGCACTGGGATGGGTTGAACGGAGGAGGTTTGGATGCTCCATTGCTGGCAGTGGTTGGAGCACCCTGCTCCAGTGGAAGGTGCCCCTGCCTGTGGAACTGGATGAGCTTTAAGGTCCCATCCATCCCATTCTATGAACCTATAAGATGCTGGTTTCGATGCTGCAGCCCCTGCTCCTCTGGGGCTCCTTCAGCCAGGCTGAGCCTCTGCTTTCCCACAGGTTACCTGCTCCTCATGGGCTTCGTGAGCTTCGGCATCTGCTACCGCTATGGCCCCTTGGAGAACGAGCGCAGCATCAACCTCCTCTCCTGGGCCCTGCAGCTCCTGGGCCTCTTACTGATGTACTCAGGCATCCAGATCCACCCCATCGCCTTGGCCCTGGTGCTCGTCGCCTTCTGCACCAAGAACCTGGACTACCCATTGCACTGGGCTTTCAGTGCCTACAGGTGAGGGCTGCGTTCCCTGCTCTTGCTGCGGGATGGAGCCTATGGGGTGGCTCTGGAGGGGGGGGTGCCCTGGTTCCCCTGCAGGAGCCAGGGGGGCGCAGCCGCTCCGATGCCGCTGCTCTGTTGGCAGGAGGGTGCAGAGCTCCTGGCTGGGGCCGAGCCCCCCGCGCCTGCTCACGGAGGAGGAGTTCCGGGTGCAGGGGGAGGTGGAAACGCGCCGAGCCCTGGAGGAGCTGCGGAGCTACTGCAGGAGCCCCGGTTTCTCTGCCTGGGCGGCGGTGGCTCGCATCCAGGCACCCAAGAGGTAACGGGGGGGGGGGGCTCTGGGTGCTCCCTCCCATCCTGGCTGTAGGGACGGGCACATGGAGGCAGGGATGCTCTGCGGTGGGGTGGGAGCAGGGGGGGGCACAGGGGAAGGGTGGATGAGGCTTGGTCCTGGGGCCAGGGCGCTTCAGCCTGGTGTGCCTCAGCCTCACAGGAGGGCGCTGGGGACGTGTGTGCAGCATGTATGTGCAACACGTGTGTGCAACACATGTACAATGTATGTGCAACACGTGTGCGCAACATGGATGTGCAACACATGTACAATGTGTGTGCAACATGTGTGTGTAACACATGCACAACATGTGTGTGCAACACGTATGTGCAGCACATGTACAACATGTGTGCAATATGTATATGCCGTGTGTGTAACACATGTACAACGTGTATGTGCAACATGTATGTGCAACACGTGTATGTAATACATGTACAACATGTGTGTGCAACACGTATGTGCAACACATGTAGAACGCGTGTGTGCAACATGTGTGTACAACACATATGTACAACATGTATGTGGAACATGTGCATGTAATACATGTACAACGTGTGTGCAACACCTATGTGCAACAGGTGTGTGTAACATGTATGTGCAACACGTATGTGCAAGGCGTGTGTACGTGTGCAACATGCATGTGCAATGTATATGCAACATGTACATACAACACGTACGTGCAATGTGTGTACAACATGCATGTGCAATACACATGTACAACACGTATGTGCAACATGTACGTACAACACGCATGTGCAACGTGTGTACAACACGTGTGTGCAATACACACACATGCAACACACATGTGCAATACC